ACTTCTATATTTTTTCCTTTTCTATTAAGTGATTTTTTTGCTTCATTGCATTTTTATACTTTGCTTCTTTGACTATCTTTGCATAAGTTGATAGATCTACAAAAACATTTATAGAAAGCTTTAGGAGACAACATCATTTGAAACTATTTTCAACCTGTAGCCATTATATTTGCTTGTAGAGAAATCCACTACAAGTCTACGTAAGGTAGCATTTGATATATGTAAAGGTTTACTAAAGAATTGAGTATCAAAATGATGAAGCATGTTATTTATAGTATTTGAGAAATCAAAATGATTCTCTTGATCAGATTTGTATAAAATATTGGAACCAAATTTGAACATTGATTGTATAGAATATTTTTTTAAATTTACAAAGTTGTGGCTTAAAAAGGTAATATTAGATACTTAAGACTAAGTACTGTTTTCATCAAAAATATATATTTTATTTGTAGGAGGTAAAAGTACATTGAAGTAGTCATTTTGTATGCATAAAGTATTATGCTTATTTTTTTGATTTGGACTGATTTCTAAAATTCAAAGTTATTTGATGTATTGAAAGTAATGAATTAATTGATAGATTGACAAAACTATCGAGTTTCATTATATTCTTTGCCAAAATGCTTCTACAACTAAACTCTACTTTAGAAGACTCAAGTAAAGAGTCATTATTTATTTGTTGATTGGTGATTTTTATTTTAGATAGATATCCAAAGATATTAATTCTACTAGAAGAAAAACTAGTTAAAAGGCCACTAAAATTTGAAGTTATTTTTTTAAAAAAATTTTGACTAAATAATTTAGATAATTTAATCTAAATATAAAGATTCAAGCTACAATAATCCAATAGATCGAAAAAAAGAGCATAATTATCTTAAAATATTTTACTTGGCTTCCTAAGATAAAGTAGATTGCATCTAATTATTATTTTTTTGGTTCCAACTAAAATTAAGCTCTTGAATTTGTGACATGTTATCATTCATTTGTCTCATTATTCTCTTTTACATGTATATTTACTTGATGATTATTGATATCCCTCTATGTATTTAGAATTTATTATATATATATATATATATATATATATATATATATATATTATTGAGTTTTATTATTATATTCTACATCTATGAGTTAATAAATTGGGCATTTCTATTGGTACTTCATTTTCACTTATGTGATGATTTAGCATATTATCAATAGCTGCAAGTAAAAAGATCTCTTTTTTACTAACTATGGTCTATTCTAAAAGCTAATATCTTATTTTTCTTTATTAAAAATTATATCTTTTAAAATTTCTATTCTTCTCTTCTCTATACCATATATCATATATGCTTTATTTTTAGTGTTGTAGCCTACAAATTGATACTTTCTAGTTTTATTGTCCATTGTCTTTTTTTCTTCCTTGAATGTGTGTACGTATTCTAAACATCCAAACACTCTTAACTTAGTGATATGTGATTTGTATTAAAAAAATTTTCATAAAAAATTGTATTAGAATTTGCTTTAATTGGAATAAGATTAACTAGGTGGTTAGCAATATTTGTTGCTTTATTCCATAAAAAGCTTAGAAGCTAGCTTTCAAAGGCCTTGCTCTTTAGTAACTCCATAATTTTTTTATTTTATCTCTCTGCAATATTGTTCTAATGTGGTATTCTAGCTTACATGAGTTGGCATATGATTTTATATATCTTATTGAACTTTTGAAATTCTTCCAAAAATTACACTTCTTCTTTTCTCCTCTATCTAATTTGATTTTTTTGTATCTTTTGTCTTTTTTTATTCTTAAATATTATTTTTAAAATTGTGAACTTTCTATAAGTTTCATTCTTTCTTTTCATCAAATATATTCATGAATATTATGAATAATGACCTAAAAAAACTATAAGTGTGGATAAACTACTTCTTAATGATTGATATAACATAATTTCTACTACATCTATATATAATAACTCCAATATTTTAGTTGTTATTGTGTGTACTTTTTGAAGAGCATGCTTGTGGTGCTATTTTTCAGCTTGACATTCTTCACAAATGGTTTTTACATCATCAAGTCTAAGCATCTTGACTATTTTGTTTATTTTTGATAGATGACTTAAGCCATAATAGTAAAGGTGTCTTAGTTGACAGTGCCATAAGTGTGGATTATCCTTTCTTATCACACTCATTATTTTTTTTATTAAATTCTCAAATTCATATAAATTACTCTTCAAATTTTCGTATCTAGCTATTATAACCTTTCTACTTTTAATGATGTTTAGTACCAAATAATGATGCTTTATAAATACGAAAATATTTTTTATATTTGTTAGAATTCCTACTAATATGGAACTATTGCATATAAAAGACATATAAAGACTATTATTGAGCTTTATTCCATCTAAACCAATAACTATATGTGCCTTTGTATAATCTTTAATCTTATGAAATTCCTATCTCGTCTTAATAATGTTTCTTCCTTTCACTCTATGAATTGTCTCAAAAGCATTCTTATTATTTGTGATATGACTTGATGTATCACTATCCATATACCACTTATGATTTAGATGATTAGTCGTTTCTATTATAGATGTATCAAAATTATTAATAGCATCTCTATACTCATTGTCATCATGTCTCATGTGGTTGATTATGTTCTTGTTGATATAAGACCATACTTTAGATTGCCATTTTTGGGAGTCTTGTGCAATGCAACCTTTGTTACTACTTACAAAGCATTCAAGTCCTCTTTGTACATAGTTATTAAAAAAAAATTACATTATTCTTCATCTCCAATTTCTAAATCTTCTTTTCATGAGTACTCTATATTCATGCTGTTATTTTATGTGAATTCTTACTTGAGAATGCACCAAGCACTTGACTATGGAAGGTAAAAGAAAATTGCAACAAGTTCTAACAACTCTAATAGAATCATATATAAATTTTAATTAAAGCTTAATAAATATAATCAAACATTGATCTAGTCCAATTAAATTTTTAAATAAATTATAAAAAAAATACAAAAAAAAATCTAAATAAATCTTAATTAAATTCTAATAAAATTTTAGATAAATCTTAATCAAATCCTAAATAAATCCTAAATAAATCTTAATCGAATCCTAGAAAAATTTATAATCAAATCCTAGACAAATCCTAGAAAAATCCGAATCAAATCCTAATCAAATTCTAAATCTTAAATAAATTCTTAAGAAATCCTATAGCAAATTGGAACCTCTATAATTAACAATTAATCTATTGATTTTAGTTCAAATTTTATACATCTTTCAAAAACTAAATTAGCAATAATTAATTTTTTTTTAAAAATATCAAACTTATCAATTAGTAGATAAATCCTAAAATCCATTTGGATATTGGCCAACCTTCTCCAATCTTGATGCTGATCTCCCTAAGCCAAAACTTCTTTATTCTATCATTAAATACCACTTAAATTTCAAATATATATTAGAAATATATTCTACTATCCATACAAAAAAATTTCACCTCAATCTAACTAGTAGATTGCTAAAGATCGTAAAAATCCTCATTCACCTTCAAAATCCCATTTTTCAGACCTTAACCTACTTGAGCTGGAATAACCTTCACTCTAACTATTTGAACATGCTCAAATTTATAGCATGCAATAAGAAAAATTATAATCACAAATATACAAATTATTACTTATAGATCTACTACCAAATTTACAAAATTCTTCCAAATATAAATCTTTTTTTAATTTCATAAAACCACATTCACTAAAAACAACCTTAATTTTGCCAAGTTCTTAAAATTCATGTATTGCTCAAAACTATTGCTCAAATTTTTTTTATAAAGTCTTCCCTCAAATTCTACTCTTTGATTTGCAAAAGAAATCCAAAGTCACTATAGGTGTATGGTTTTGTGCCTCGAGGTTTGATTTCGACCCATGTTAACAATTGGTCCTCTTTGAATATTAATTTTTAATAATTTGAAATAAATTTTGCTTAAATCTATTATTAATTCTCTTTTAAATATGTCTATATCAATTTCTTATCTCATTTGCTTTGATTTTGTTTATTAATGCTTCTACAAAGATTTTCTTTCTATAAAAAAATAGCATTAAGACTAAACTTTTTACTACCTTTCTATCATTTATTATTATTTTTTTACTACATCTTTCTACTAGGCTCTTCTATAATAATATCCATATTTTTATTTTTCACCATATAGTCATGTTACCACACAACAATGTTGCATTGGTGTCTTCTTCTATGATGCAACCAAAGCCATATCATCTTTGCTAATTTTCTTGTTGCTGAGTTCTTAGCAATGTTCTTTATTGATGGTTTTTGCAGCAACTCGCTCAAATATAGGCAAGGCTTCTTAAGATTTAATAACCTATAGTACTCCTTCATATAAGTGTGGCATTCCATTTAGTATATTAGAGTTTTGTTAATATATTTCTTCCATTGCCGCCAGCTTGTTTTTTTATCTTATGCACTTTTTTTATATAATTCTCTACTAAACCACCTTCATACATGTAGAGTACATGAAGTTGACTTGTTAACATTAACACTTGCTCAGGATCTCTAAACTAAAAATTCTGCTCTAACACTCTCTAAACATCTCCTTGATCTTTAATCTCTGCCACCCCATTGATCAAGTCGTCGCTCACAGACAACATAATTGCACTCATAGCCATATTTTTCATCTTCCTCAGCATGAGATGATTGTGATCAACTCCGTTCACTCTCATTGGATACACTTCTAGTTCTACTTTGGGAGGTGACATGAACAAAACTTGGCTTGGTCCACGCTCAGTAAGAGTGATGAGATCTCAGCAACTTTGAGGTGAACTAACTCTGACGAAGTCAACGCAGAAGCGACTGACAAATTTGCAACTAAATTCGAGCCAACTGCAAAATGCATGTTGCTGTGCTTACGACATGCGCATCGATCTAGATTGGTGAGCCGACAGGAAAGACAATCACAGAGCTTGAGATCAATTGCCCAAAACGACATTGCTCACAAGTGAACTGTACCGCTATTGTACTTAACTTGCAGGGGTATCGTAGCTTGAAAGGGAGAGATCAGGATTACCTGTTAAGAGTCGCCCAGTCTCATCCATTAGCCTGTAAGGTGCACACAACAGGTAGTTGTGGACCGCAAATTCCATCCATCAGTGTAGTTTGTCTGCAGCCCTCCAGAACTAGTACAGTACTCCGACTTCCACATCAAGGTACAGCTTACAGTGAGTGCACTAGGACAGAGGCATTGCAACTGAGGCGTCAGTGTTGGTGGTGGATGTTGTGTCCACGTTCTTGTTGAGGCACACTAGGACTACTCCGGGAGTGATCTCGAAGCGAGAGCATCTGCTGGCGCGTGGGAATCTTATCCTTTGGGATTTCTCCCAGTGTTGTCGAGGTGTGATTGTTTGAGATTTTCAAAGCCTTAAAGGTGAATAACCCCTTGTCTGCTCCCAAATTCCTCTCACGAAACAAGTGATCAATGTGAACATTTTCTGCATGATTTTTCTTTGCCATTGAGTAGCTCGGGCTTCACGCTGTCAGAATTTAGATAAATCCGCAGTAATCACACACTCTTCCTGTGATAGTTTCACGTGCTTCACTCTGGCTCCTATAAGAGATGCACTGAGCCCTTGGACTAGGCTAGTACTATTCAGCTCTCTGTCTTGGTGATGCAGTGGTGAAGTCCAAGCTTACAATCCCGTGTATTATTTCGCATTAAAGATGGCCTTCACCAATAGAGCTGGCATAGTTTTCTGTGCAGTTTTTGTCACTCTTTTACAAAAACTCAATGGCGCCGAGTTGCTTCCCAACGTTGAGAGAGCAAGCTTTCCCAAAGGCTTCATCTTCGGAACCGCCACTGCCGCTTACCAGGTAAGTGTGCTATAATGGCCTGTCCTCGTCGAGAGAGTGCTGTAATTGTTTGTCGATCTGTTATGCCTCGTCCGAATTTCACGCAATTGCATCTACTTCTGTGTTTCTGTTTCGTAGTATGAAGGAGCTGCAAGCGAAGGAGGCAAAGGCCCAAGCATCTGGGATACTTTCTCACATCAACCAGGTATGGATCACACGTCTGGTTAGTCCAAGTACCCAGTGCATTAAGGCTGAATAGTACTAACCTAAATGTTCAAGTTGAAGCTAAAACGTTGCGTTCCATGGTTTGTTGTCTTATGACATGAGGCATTCGCTCCATTTTCACTGAAACCTTTACTCTCGATGTACTAAAACCACACACAAGTATCTTGATGTGGAGCAGGGAAAATCCAAGGGAATGGTACCGGAGACATTGCCGTTGACCAGTATCATCGATATGTCGTAAGTGGGATGTATGTTCAAAATTAAAAATACGCTAGTCTTGTTGAGTTTTTCTCGCAAGTTCGACAATCAGCCTATCTGATGGAGATCATGGTGACATTTTTTTAGGAGGATGTATGGTTATTGAAGGACTTAAATATGGAGGCATATCGATTTTCCATCTCCTGGCCACGCGTGTTTCCAAGTATTTAAATCCACACTCTTTCTAATTCAATTTACATTCCTGCTAAGTTTCTGCAACATGACATCATTTCCACAATACTGTGTAACAAAGGTGATGCTTATCGTTTATAAACTACTTGCCACACTAACCCTTTGCCCGTACATCTTCCCGAACAAATCAATCTGCAGAGGGCACAGGCGTGGTGAATTGGGAAGGAGTCAAATACTATGATAATCTAATCAGCGAACTTTTGAAACTTGGCATTGAACCCTATGTCACATTATACCATTGGGATATGCCTCAAGCTCTTGAAGACTCGATTGGAGGATGGTTAAGTCCTCAGATAGTGTAAGCCCTCCTACTAAACAAACATCTCCCAACTCACATTTACCATGATAATCTTCCCTTTCACAGACACCAGTTTCTCCATCTTCTGAGTATGTCAAACATGCCAAAATGGTTACCAACCACGCGTATGTAAAAACAGGGAACCATTCGCGAGGTACGCGCGGTTTTGCTTCGAAAGGTGGGGCACAAAAGTGAAGCACTGGATCACTTTCAACGAGATTCATAGCTTTGCAGGGGCAGGTTACTATACAGGAGTCATGGCACCAGGGCGATGTTCGGCGCCGTATGGGAATTGCTCACAAGGCAATTCTCTCACCGAACCTTATATAGTCAGTCACCACGCTTTGTTATCGCATGCTCAAGTTGTTGACATCTACAGAAAGGAGTTTCAGGTACACAGCACCATATCTCGAAACTTGACTCTGTGTCGATCCCTTATACCCCATCAAAAATTGTATGAACTTTGCATCCACCACAGTTTTCCAATTCCAGTTTCACGAAAAAGGCACAGTTGATATCAATTGTGTGTTCTATAAAACTGTAGGCAGATCAACACGGAGTCATCGGCATCACTACAGATTGCACTTGGTATGAACCTCTTGATCAAGGCTCTGCTTCGGACAAACAAGCTGCTGAATATTCCGTTCAAGCATTCCTAGGATGGTGAGAAATACTTCCAGTTTTGTGTTAAGCAAGATAGGAATTGACCACGTTTCTGATCTTATCGTTGTTGTTACCGTCGATTGTTGTTGATTATTGTTAGAAATGGTTGCAGGTATTTGGATCCTATATTTTTCGGAGATTACCCGGCTTCAATGAGAGAGTCTCTAGGATCACGGCTTCCCACATTTACAAAAGAAGAAGCAGCACTTATTAAAGGATCACAGGATTTTGTAGGAATAAACCATTACACTTCAAATTATGCGACATACAACAGTTCCACCGGGGAGATCACCCAAACAGGTGTGTGGGTATATGTGGATATAATTAAATAATTGAATAAATAACGAAATAGCGTTTTATTCTTATTAATGTACGAAAAGAATGTTTCGTACTTTGCTTTTATTTTTGTTATTGTTGACACTGTTGCAATTATATTTTGGATTTTTGAATCACTGGAATGTAAGAGTTTAGTGGTATGCTTATTTGCCGTTTTAAATCATGAATGTGAATGAACACGCCAGCCATTGAGTTAAGGAGATTGATGGATGCAGGATACAGAAATGGCGTTCCCATTGGAGATCCGGTAAGGCAATTATAAGATTCACCTTTCCATTTTTTTTCAGTAAAAAACATTCCTTTACACAGAATATGAATGAACACAAATATGTGTGTGTGTATATATATATATATATATATATATGTATAATCCCATTTCAATGTTGGTTTCATGAAAATTAATTCTATTTTTATATGTGGCACTATACATATATATATATATATATATATATATGTGTGTGTGTGTGTGTGTGTGTGCATATATATATATATATATATATATTCAATCACACTACCATACTCGTTGTTTTTTATTTTATTTTAATTTAATGAGAAATCTTATCAAGTTATATGGTCTATACAGACAGTATCTGAGTGGCTATTCATAGCGCCAACTGGGATGCGGAAGTTGCTGGGGTGGGTACGGAATAGATACAACAATCCAATAGTATACATCACTGAAAATGGTGTTTCTGAAGCCAACAAAGACCAAGAGCTGCCCTTAGTGGACCAACTTAAAGACAGTGTACGAATAAATTATTACCACAGTTACATGCAAAACCTCCTCCTTGCAATCAGGTAATTATATATATATATATATATATATATATATCTACCTATATATATCTCAACCTCATCTCTGTTAGCGCTAATATGTTTGCTAATCTGAAACACGAACTAATTGAACCCTTTTCAAAAAAGACTGCTTCCTAAACAATAACTGAAAGGGTTTTCTTGAAAAACACAAGAACAGATTTTAACAAAACATTGTCCAAACTATTTGAATATTTTTAGGTGATTTTTGTGTACTACATTAAAGCCCACGCTCCTAAATCCTTCTATTAAACCGAATTTGATGGATGAGCACAGTTATATATATTTATATATATATATATATATATATATGAAAACATATGCAAACTACAACCACGGTAGTTTTTTAACCCAATATTTTGACTTGTGTAGGGATGGATCTGATGTGCGTGGTTATTTTGCGTGGTCATTAATGGACAACTTTGAATGGGCAGTGGGCTACACCGTCCGCTTTGGAATCTATTATGTGGATTACAAAAATGGCTTGGCTAGATACCCCAAAAGCTCTGTGCATTGGTTTCAACAGATTCTAAAGAAAAAAAGAGTAGTTTAGTGTTAATCATGCCTTCAATTCCTTTAAAGCAATAATTTCATGTCTTCATTAGACTATCGAATAATGCTCTATGTGGCATTCATCCTTGATCTTAGACTATAACTCTTGGTTTTGTTTCTACAGTGTTAAATTTAAACTTTTTGTTAATTGGAGGGATTTGATATTGAGATTGATCGTATCCTGGTCCAATTCATTTGTAAATTTGGATAAATTTAAAGTTCACGAGTCCAACATTGTGATATTAAGAGGTGAATTTCCAAATCAACCTCAAGGATTGATAATATGTTGTTCACACATCAAGTTTGGCAAGAGACATGTTCCACATGGGTTCCAAATATATCCCAAAAATATTTTTTAAAATTCTTATTTTATACTATTTTTCAACTTCAAAAGATAAATAATCTTCACGAAATCCAAATATTATCATCAGGCTGCTTATCTTCCTTGTAAACTTCACGTTCATGAGCTCAACTACGTTCCAGTGCTTGTGCACATCTTTGCCGGGGTTGGAATAGATGGGTACCATGGGATCAATCATCATCTTAATCAAGAAAACGTAGCAATCCAGGCAGAGAGGAACAATATTCCAAATAGAAATTTCTCGTTTAATTTCTGGGAAGAACATAAAATTAAATATCTGTGCTAATACCATCTCTCCTTCCGACTTACAAAATTGGATAAGGGCTTATATTCATTTCCATGACGCCCAATGGTAGTGTACAGAGGTAATTAGCTACGGAAGTCCGCCACCCAATTTAGAAGCAATAGCAAACAGGTTGTTAACTTAATTATCCATCTACTGTTGATAAACCTCCGGCTTCAGCACTCCTATGCAAGGGAGACTCCGGAAGCGTTCTGCAAAGTCCATTCCATAGCCAACTACGAAGTAATCTGGGCACTGTCAAAGAGAGTGAACAAGGGTTAGGATTCAGGGTTAAGAGTTCCAAATGCTTACAAAGCTGAAGGTGCATATCATCTTACATCACCCTAGAGATTGTCATACAGATTTTACGAGAGAATCAACTAGATCATGGGGAAGTAGTTTTATCTTCTAAGGACTGAAAATAGACGAGAGATGTGACATTCACCTCAAATCCCACGTAGCACTTTCCCGAGCCTGAAAGCTTCAGAGGTACGACACGGCGAAAAACTTTGTCGAGCAGCACACACACTGAAACTGATGTCGCTCCTTTTGATTCGAGGTGATTTACCAACTTCGCGAGGGTTATGCCGGTGTCAATTATATCCTCCACCTGGTAACACGTCAATTCACAAGTTGAAAGGTTATATCATGGTGTGCAATTTTCGCCAGGGTTGTGCGATAAATGAATTGAAAATAGAAGACAGTGTCACCTCAATCGCAAATTATAATTGTAACGAGGGTCAAATTTAAAATCTGAACCCTAAACCTTAGGGTGTCGGAAAATATTACGTAGCGTTTAATTAGATGAGTACTCTCCTTCAGCACCTTTAAGGGATGAAGCTGATAGACTCTGGTGAGATGAGAAAAGGAAAGAGGTTGCCGCAACATACCACAATAACGTGTTTGTCTTTCAGATCTATTTTACAATCCGTGCCGATGGTGGCCACACCTGACGTCTTTGTGTTATTTCCGTATGATTGAACCCGGACGAAGTCCACCTGCAAAGGAAGTGATATATGGCGTACTAAGTCTGCTACAAACATGAACGCCCCTGTTGCAACCTGCAAGGAATACAAGCAATTTGACATCATGAACTCCGCGTTTAATTGCGGTGAATCTTAGACGTGGTGTGTTCTTCTTTCTTGGTCATCCTTAGTACATAAAAACATTTTAAAATCCTCAGAGAACCGAAAACGTCCAATTCAAATTTATTTCAAGACAAAAGAACTACCTAACACAACAGCTCTTGCTTCCTGTAGTCTGATGCTAGACCCTTCGCTGGTGCTAGAAGAGAATGACACTATCTTGCAGAGAGTTCCAACCGTTGTTGCTACCAGAATGTAAGCCACATGGCAGACAAGAACAAGGAGAAGAATCCATAAAACCCTATTTCTTAAACCCTCGAAACCACGCCGCAAGCGCCGACACTCGCAATGAATCTTAAACCCTTAGAACCGCCAAGGTCCGACGATCGCTTCCACGTTCTTAAACCCAAGGAAGAACCAACGTAAAACACTGAAAACTCTGCCCTGTATGAAAGAAAAATTAACACAAAAGGCTTTCGAATCTCATACAATAAGAAAGCGGGAAATCCTCACCCCGAGAACAACAAAGGAGCGTCCGTCGAAGTCGTTCGAGATAGCGCGACCAAGCTCCGCTACCCGGGCCTGAATCTCATGCGCCATCCATAGCACGCTCTCGAGCATATCATCCTCCATCTTCATCGTTCGTGTTTAATTATGTGTTGTTTTTTTTTTATTATTCTTTCTCTCTCCCTCTCTCTCAATCACACACACAAGGCACTGCGTCCGTCGTCCACTCCTTCCTGCTTACGATTTGGTGCAACGCCAGCTCAATGCGCGCAAAATGCAGCAATGCACACAAAATACAGCGCACGGCATGCTCGGCACCGGAGACTCTATACTCCTGAGCCGATAACAGCTTAGTGAGCTCAAGGGACTAGTAACTCAATTAGTAAGTTTTTTTTTAGTAAGTTACTACTAGTCGCTCAGGGGGTCGTGGTTGCAAATCTCTAGTTCGATCTGAAGATTTGGTAAATGTCCTATTTGTACTCAAATGTTGGATCACCGTGGATTTGATGAAAAAAGTGAGCCATGGTATAAAGCCGTGTGTGTGAGAGTGTGTGTGTGTGTGAGTGTGTGTGTGTGAGTGTGTGTGCATTTCGATGTTTGCTGACCTATGTTATTAAAAATAAATTGGCGTTTTAGATGTTATGATATTCAATGGCAATGCATAAATTTTTGAGAAATGCTTTAGAAACATTTCTTAATAGATGATGGCATGATGATTTCATGAAATCGAACATACAAATGTTGATTGTATTCACGAGAAGAAATTAGTTGATTTACGAAGTTAAACAAAGTGAGAAACACAAAGTAATTTTAGTAAACTAAAACATAAAAAGGAAGTAATAAAACTTGACCAATCAAATTAACTTTCATGCCCTACAAGAGTTTTATAATATCCATGTTTAAAGGGTAATGTGATACTTTTACATTTTTAAATTAAAGAAACTATTAATATTAAAAATGAAGAATAATAAAGAGATAAATTGACCAATATATAATATAAAATGAAAATTACGATACCAGATGGCAACATAGGTTCCAGATTTAGCGCCTTGGGGGAGTAGCTCAAATGGTAGAGCAATTGGTAGAGCAAGCAGGTTGAGAGCAATGCGGCGGGCTCCGTGAAATCCAGAGCCGCAAAAACCTAGTCATCCAATATTTTAGGAATGACAGATTTTTGAGAGATTGAGCAGCGCGATAATCTGCAACAATCGATGAGGCACTGCAATTCTTTAGGAGGTTGCATAGCAACAATTCACAGATAGATTTGGGCTCAAATGAACTAGATCCGAATCTTGCGAAAACTCAAACACCTTGTGAAACGGGTAATAGACCGGATTAGAGCGGACTTGCAGCTACAGCTTCAGTAGCAGCAGAACCCAACGTAGCAAAGTAAAGCGCACCAATCAAACTGGACAAGAAAACGGGCGATGAAAGGTCGCACCAAGTAGTGCCCAAAAGAAAATAGGCTACGCTCTTCGCAGCAAAGTACAGTGGGGTACAGAAATAATTCGAATTTTTTTCTAGAGCACCACTTTTGCTAAAAAAATCTTGTTGTTCAATTGAATGTTGTGATCATGTTGGAAGGAATTTTTCCCCGACACTTGGCCATCTATTTTTGGAGTGCAAGAGGTGTCTAATTGCATGTAATTAGCCATGTGTCTTCAAAAGCAGATTGCAAATGTGATGATTAATGTGGAAGTGGTTAGGTGAGCTAAAAAATCACAGTTGCAATTAGGCATGCATGCAGCCAGCAAAATGGAGTGATAGCATAGAATGCTTGGATGGGGTGACTTATATAATCCATCTGAAGATTCAATCCGTATGGGATACCATATCTATAGAGTGGCTTCGTACATTGATTTCAACTATGCCTTATAGGATGCAAGCGGTGATTGCAGCTGGGGGTGGTAGTACGAGATGGTAGATAGTATGTAACAAAAAGCTCTCTTGATGTATATTTTCACAACTTTATAATGCAAACTTGTTACACCATGAAACTAGATTCTACTATCTTCGCAATGCAGTTTACGGCTCAAAAATGCGTTCATTTTTGACACTGCTGGAGCTTTTTGAAGTTCAGTGATTTCTAACACTGATTCACTTTGAAAAAAAATTCGAATTATTTCTGTACCCCACTGTACAATCGCTGATTCCATTATCCGCAGGGAGAGGAACTTGCACAGAGCCATATAAGGAGAAGCATATGGCAAAATCACACCATGCGAACTACCAGGTAAGTGTTCCAACTTTGGATTCAATTTCAAAGAGGATAGTTTTGCAAGCTTTGATAGCCTAGATTCCTCGGAACTACGCTCCAGAGGGAGCTTCGAGCTCCAACCACTATATTTCCCTCTGGAAGGCAAGCATAGACCGACTCCACTGTAATATGAGCATGAAGTGAACCACCACAAGAAAACAGACATGAATGTAGCAAGACAGGAACTGGATCCTAGCCCAACTCATAGACGCATAAAGGAATCAACCCCAAAAACAGGCCAACAGGATACCCTGTAATGTGAGCAGATAGAATCTACAGTCCAACCTGAACCGGATGAGACCACAGCACACAGTCCCAGGATAGAATCCCACACAATAACCCCAGAGAGCAAAATTAAGAACAAAATACTGTCCTTAGCACACCGCACAATGGAATCTCTCAGAGGCTATATCCAAGCAAAATGGATGTGGCGGAGAAGTTTATTCAAGACAATCCATAGTAAGGCTTAACACACCAATATACACATGAAGAAGAACTTCTTCGCATCACGGAACAGATGCAACCAGACGTAGAAAACCTATTACTAGCATTCGGGATCGACATTGCCACAATAGGAGCCACAAGAGCGCCCACTCATCCAACTTCTGATGTAACGCAACCCGATCCTGCACATACAAAAACAAGAGCCAATATCAGTCAAGAGATGATGTAACTCATGAAGGACCAAATTGCATTTGAGGAAAGTCACACCCTGATAGAATACTTGAGGAAAAATCCTGGCCCAAGCATACTCCACGAGTGGGCCACAAGAGTTCTACACAACTCCTACACCTCAACAACGATGCTTGGGGGAGGTTACTTCAAAATATAATTTATGAGCAAACAAGGAAAACTACACATGCTATCTAAACCATATCAATTCAACAACGAAGATATATTATTTTCCACCTGGAGAGCCGACTTCGACCTGGAATCGGAAACCGACACGCACCAAACCTCCTCCCAAATCTGGGCACAACTCCGAGGCTTAAGAAGGATTTTTCGCACAACACAGTTTCTCACAGAAGCCTTTTCCACTATCGAAGAAGTCATAGCCGTTGACTCCACCAAATCTTACCAAAACAAAGCTTCTGGTTCTAAGGTTCAGTTACCAGTCTAGGATGTAGTCAACCTCCCACATACTTCAGTTCTTCCCAAGAGGTGAACATGAATACCGAATTGACTACAGTGTACTATCCTCCTAGTGCAATAGATGTAGAAGTACTACACACCACGCTAAACACTGTACACTACCGTGGAGAGAAGAGCGCAAGAGATCCAGATAGAAAACCCCAACCTTGGAAAACTCGGTAACCGACAACCTCACCCAACACAGACAGACCAATGGTGAAGAGAAAACATTGAAAAATGTAGGACCTAGGAAGAAGAACAGTGCAACTCTTCTACGCACCAAATACATCTGGGTAGAAAAGAAACCAACAAAATCCACAGACACACATGAAGGACCAGAAAAACCATCTGAATCAATCATATACAACTCACCACATACAATTGAGCTTTTGGAGAGCTCTGGGATCAGAACCGCCTTGCAAAGGAACAACTTATGAGCAAATTACAGTAGCTTTAGTTTGGTCATCTCAAAACAACTTCCTTGAAACCCTGGTTTGCAAAGCTAGCGACACTCTGCTGTGCACAACACAACTGACTCACGTCCCAAAGGAGAAGGATTGGTCATCATCAATCGCTCAAACGCATATGGTTAACACCACAATGCAAAAGCTCCAAACACAGATAACCAATAGAGGAAATGGCCCCAACTTGCTCCGCACCTAGTCAGACGCAATATGGGTTTCAGAATAGCTCAACTAAAAATCTACTCACACAAACAATTGGATTACTATCTTGCCATACGACAAAAGCACCACAGCGATCAAACATCAATAAACAAAGCACTGGAAGCAGATACCATCATCAACATCCCCCCCACAAGCTCTCATACTAGAAAGGGTAAAGGAGATATCATATGGCCAATGGTGTCAGACAATCATCCATCTCCAAGATTAACACACCCAGGATGTGAACTCCTCTCCTCTAACTCACTTTGAGCAGAAACTCGGAGAGAACAACACATCTATTATACATGAATGATGGCCTAACAATGGCCACATACAACATCCAGTGCTTAGGCGAAGGACTGGATGGCGTCAGAAAATGCTGTAAGCTTCGAAACTTAATGCAAAAGACCTATCTCAAACCCAACCTTATATTATTACAAGAACATCAATTCAACCATACTAACTGTACCAAACAAGCTACACAACTAGATTTTCTACAAGGTACAATGCTTTGGAACACCGTAGTGTACTCAGCACAAAAAGTGGCTTAGTTGGTGGAACAGCTATTTTGGTATCCAACAAACTCACCGATAACCTAAAAGAACATGGAGTGATAGTCTGAGGAAGAGCGCAACGCTCCATTTTCAAAATCAGCCCCACAGTTCAAATAGGCATTCTAAATGTCTATGGTTACAGCCACACAGAACCCCGTGCAAGACTATGGCAGAAAATAGCAGACCACCCTTTACCAGAAGCCCTCTGGATCATGGGGGGCGATTCTAATTTTATTGAGTCCCTCGAAGACAAGCAGGGTGGGAATGCCAATTTAAGACAAGGAACACAAGAAATGACAGCATGGAATAACATGCTCATTAAACTATAAGTTCAAGACAGTTTCCACATGGGAGAATTCTGCAAGATTACCAATAAACGCTTCACCTGGGATAACAGAAGCCCAGCCCCGAAGACAGTACTCACCAAGCTAGATAGAATATACATTGGAGACAAACTCCAAGACTGAGGTGGACTATGTGGAATCTGGACAGCACAACCAATCATTTCGTATTACACCCCTGCTTTCATAAGATTGAAACCTGCATGCCGACCTCTACCCTAGATGCAGTTCTTTGACAAACGACAACTAGAATCAGTTGAAGGCAGACAACATGTCACAGGAGCTTGAAAACAGGCCATATAAAACACTACATAAACCAAATGGAGCGATAAAATTGGCCTTACAAGCAGTATGCAACACGAACCTAAATATTGCAAAAAAGAACAG